CCCCTCCCTGGACGCCACACCACCAGAACACTTTAAATCCTTCATGGGGCTCCTGGTGCCCTCTAGATTGAGCTCAAACCTCAAATGCCTTAGGCTGGCTGAAAAGGCCTTTTGGATCTCACCTCGGGCGCTTCCTCAGGCCTTGCCTCTCCCCATCCTTCCCTTTAGGCTCTGGCAGTGTTTTGCCTCAGGGCCTTTGCACATGTTTTCCTGTGTGAAACACCACACTCCTTTGCTGGCTCACTCTAACTCTTCCTCCAGGGACCAGAGTCAGGCATGCATCACCCTGCATGCATCAGAGGGCTTCTGAGCCCTCTGGCCTGTCTGGGGCCTGCTCCGGAGGGAGGGCAGAGCCCCCTTGGGCTTCCCTTGATGGTGGGGCTTTCTACCTGCCTTGTCTCCCCTGTTATTGCTCTGCGTCTCCTCTCTGGCTAAACTGTGAGCCCCTCGAGGGCAGGGGCTGGGTCTCTGGATCCCCAGCACCGGGCACATCAAAGTGTTTGGTGAATATTTATGGAATGGACGAAAAGTGTTCTCCAAAGCGCAGGCTCTTTCTGCAGCCCTGAGCACCTACTGTGTGCATGGAAGAAACTGACAGAGTTTGGAAGGACGGGAAAGATGCTTGTAAAACTGAACTGTAGGAGGGCCTTTGGAGGACTCAGCACTGATGGAATGTTTGCTGTCAGCTCAATTATCCACCCCGCCGGGAGTGGTACCATTCTACAGGAAAGGAAACGCGGGCTCAGAGAGGTGACGTTACTAGTCTGGGGTCACACAGCTGGTTAGCACCAGAGGCAAGATTTGAACGCAGGCCTGCGGGATGCCAGAGCGCGTGCACTAGCCACTACCCCGCACAGCCACCCGGAGGGCCCGTGCCGGGTCCAGACACACCGCTTCCTTCAGGCCCTAAATCCAGTGGTTTTGTGTGGCTTTCCCATATGTCATTAATTGCCCTCCAGACCCTGCCTCTTTGGGTGTTTCTGCTGCAGTTAAAAGAGCAATAAAACACAGAGTAATTGGAAGACAAAGGCGACTGCCTGGCCAGCCCGCCCTGAGGAGCGGAGTGCCGGTAACTTGGGTGTGATCCTACCTGTGATTCATGCAGAGAAATTACAGTCTTCCGTGTACAGGTGTGTACAGGCCGCCGGGTGGGGTGCAAGCGAACACAGCATTTAGTGGGGCAGTAAAACTCAGGCCTGCGGTGGGGAAGGACAGTCAGATGGCCTCCCTCCGCCCTCCCCCCACCCGGCCTCCCTCCTGCCCCAAAGGAGACACTATCACACTATCAATACACAGCCCTTTAAAGTTCACAGAGGGCCCTAGGTGTGTGTTTCTCTGGACTGAGCCCCACCCCTGCTGGGACCCGCCGGTGAGGGGCCACATGCTCTGGGCTGGGGACCCAACATGCCAGGGCTGAGGTCAAGGTCATGGGATGGTGATCGTGTACCGTCAGGATCAAGGGTTCTAGCCTGGACAGGTTGTGGACTGATAGAGGGTGTCTGAAAGGGTGTCTTACCATCTCGATGAATCCAGGAAGGCTTCCTGAGGGAGGCAGGGCATGGAGAGCCACGTAGGAATCCCTTCTTCCCTATCTAACCCTTGTCTGCAGCTGGAGAGAAGTCGTTTTGAAAGACAGAAGAGGGACACCCAACCAGGTCCCCACTGAGTGTAGGAGCTGCCGTGAGGGGCTTCCTCGGCCACCGACCATCACATCAGCTGATGGGCCCGGGGCTCTGAGACTGGCCGCCATGGGCTTATGTGAGCTCATGGCTGTGGCCCCTCTCCCCAAACCAGAGAATCCTTAGCAGAAAGCAGTCTGCACCGAAGCCAGGAGCCAGCGCTACTTCCAGGGAATGTGGACACCGGGCACGCGGGGTTGTGACAGCTTAGGCCCCAAGGAGGTCCCTTCTTGACCTAGAGCTTCCACCAGGGCTCCGGCCGCAGGTCCCCTTGCCCTGCAGGTATGTCCGTTGACCCTGAGCCCTGGTCACAGGATTGTGGGCTTTCTCGCCCACACGTGCCTACCCCGACTAGGACCCTCCCCCACCGCCTACACCTCTTTCTTCTCAAATGGAGAGGGACAGAGTCGTGGGGATCTAGGACTTGGTGCTTAGGGCTAAACATACCTGACAAACACCAATGTTTACTTAGCCGGCAGGTTATTTATTTCTGGAAACGGAAGTCGCATTTCCATCCATATCCCAACACCCCAACCCCCCGCTCCCTTGAGATCCCCTAGTGTCTCTCGTATGTCTTCCCAGTATTCTTTGCGTAAATGCATCAAGTGGTAGCTATTTACACACATGTATGCTGTTCGGTTCCTTGTGTTGTTTTTTTTTTTTTTATATTTTTATTTATTTCTAGGAGAGAGAGAGAGAGAGACAGCGTGAGCAGGGGAGGGTCAGAGAGAGAGGGAGATGCAGACTCTGAAATAGGCTCCAGGCTCTGAGCTGGCAGAGCCCGACCTGGGGCTCGAACCCATGAACCACGAGATCATGACCTAAGCGAAAGTCGGACGCTTAACCGACTAAGCCACCCAGGCGCCCCTCGCTCCTTGTGTTTTATGCAATAGTATGTAAAGTATGGGAGACTTCTGCTTATGCAAAGCTGCCTGCTCCTTCCTCCTCCCCCTCCTCCTCTCCCTCCTCCTCCTCACAAGGCCCACTGGGTGGCTGTGACCCTTGGGTTGTGTGTGTTTGCACCTCGCTTCTCACGTGCTCAACATGCACCTGTGGATTACGTTCCCAGCAGTGGGACTGTCGGCTCACAGGGTCAAACCCATCCGTATCTATGATAAAAATGCCTAAATCGTCTTTCATGGGGGTGTATCATCTTGCATTCCCACCAGCAATGTAGGAGAGCGCCTGGCTCCCAATATGACAGCTTTACCGGGAGGCTGTGTCATTGCACTTCGAATTTTTGCCTGATAGATAAGAAATGGGGTCCATGGTATGGTTTTTCTTCATATTTCTCTTAATGGGAATGAGGTGGAGTATCATTTCCAATGTTTAAAGGCCACTTGTGTGTCTTTACCTATTATTAGTAATTATTTATGTTTATTTATTTTTTATTTTTATTGAAAAAAATTTTTAATGTTTTTATTTATTTTTGAGAGAGAAAGAGATGCAGCGTGAGCAGGGGAGGGTCAGAGAGAAAGGGAGACACAGAACCTGAAACAGGCTCCAGGCTCTGAGCTGTCAGCACAGAGCCTGATGCGGGGCTTCACACGCAAGAACCGTGAGATCATGACCTGAGCCAAAGTCGGATGCTTAACCGACTGAGCCACCCAGGCGCCCCTTATTATTAGTCATTTCATTGATTATCCTTTCTGGCTTTTGAATTTCAAGTCGGTGTTGGAAGACTTTCCACACGCCACGGTTGTAAAGGGAGCCACTCACCTTTTCCTCTGATTGTCTTAGGGTTTCAATTTCTACATCTAAAGCTTAGATCTCTTTGGAGTGTATCCTGGTGGTGCTCTGGTGAGGCTGAGATCCACCTGGATGGGTCACCAGATGGTTTCCTGGTTGTGCCAACACCATTGATCGAAATGCCTGTCTTTACCTCCCTGCGATAAGAAGGGCCACCTTCATCCCACCCTAACTTCCAGTGTTTGGGGGTGTATTTCTAGGCTTTCTTTCTGGCCCATTGATCTTTCTATTCATGGATGTGGTAAGCAATTTGAAAGTGTGTCTTTCGGGGTGCCTGGGTGGCTCAGTTGGTTAAGCATCCGGCTTTGGCTCTGGTCACAATCTTGAAGTTCGTGTGTATGAGCCCCACGATGGCTGTGCTGACAGCTCGAAGCCTGGAGCCTGCTTTAGGTTCTGTGTGTGTTTCTCTCTGCCCCTCCCCTGCTCACACACACACACACACACACACACACACACACACTCCCTCTCTCTTTCTCTCTCTCAAAAAATAAACATTAATTTTTTTTAATCCTGTTTTTCTAGGAAAACTAAGGCTATACTGTTGCAAAATGCAACTTTCACAGGGATTTTCAGGTTAACACTCTAAAGCTTCCAAATGATTCCGACCTTGCCCCCAATCCTCTTCCCTCAGCAAAGGACCCAGCCGCTTTCTGCTCCCCCAACTGACCCACCTCACAGTGTCAGCTAAGCTCTGCCATTAGGACAACTGCAGTCTAAGTGCCGCTAGCTACTGCCTGTAAACTGAGTTGTCCTCTCCTCCAGGAAGTCTTCCGGGCCATCTCCTTGCCCCCGGGCAGAGTTAGCAACTTGTCCGGCATGCACCTGAGCGAGTTCTCCTCCGAGGCACCCATTAGGGCTGCTGGGCTGCACTGTAATCACCTGTGTTCATGTCTCAGGCTCAAATCCTCTTGGTCGTGAATCCGTCAACAGGCTCCTTACTCATTTATAGGGCAATCATCTGGCCGCCGTCCGAGTGCCACGTGCAGAGTGTGTGAGCCTTGTAAAGTGTCAATCAGTCCCTAGGCATGTTCTAGTTCTTTCTAGGAGCTCTGTGCTGGGTTTCTCTCCTCTTCTCGTTGCCCCCACCCCTCAGCCTGGCTGCCCACCTCCTGTGGGCTCTGTGCAGACCCCCGATTCCCCAGCCAGTGGCCTGAATTCTGGGAGAGTGTGACCAGAGGGCTTCAAGCAGGGCCAGGGCTGGACTCACAGTGGGGGCCCAAGGTCAAATGGAGCCGGTCCTGAGCAGGTGCCATGAGGCAGGGACGAGGCATGGAGACGCAGGGCAGGGGACAGGACCCTGGTCCTCCAGACCACGACCTCCACCGAGGTCCTCATTTGAAAGACTGCACAGTAACCCAGGCCTGGGGTTCCTGCCTCAAAGGCCAGCATGTTATATAGACAGTGGTCACAAGGGTGCTCCAGGAACCACGAAGCTGGCTTCTTGTACGTGGTGTGGTTGCGTTGCTGGATGACCACTGTCTGCAGGGCCCCGAGGGGTCCCCAGGAGTCCCCAAAAGAACGGCTCAGTGAGGAGACCACGAGGGGCTGATTCCATTTCATTCTCCAGTCAGAGCTCTGTAAGCAGATGGACTGGCTGGGCTTAAGAGGTGGTGAGTTCCCCGTCACCAGGAGGGTGAAAGCAAGGGCGGGCGGTTTCCCTGCCTGGGAGGCCGTGGTGCCTTTGATGCTGTTCTGTCCAGCCCGGGAAGTCTTTGGCGGTTGCTTCAAAGGCTTGCTTCCTTTTTAATGCAACATAGTATGTCAGCTATACTTCAATAAAAAATAATACATTTTACAAAATGATACAAATAAATCACAAAAAAAGAGAAGGAACCACACACACACACACACACACACACCCCGCCGCCACCACCAACAGACTTGAGCTCTTAAAAAAAAAAGAAGACAGGACGCCCAGGTGGCTCAGTCGGTTGAGGATCCGACTTTGGATCAGGTCATTATCTCTGGGTTTGTGAGTTCAAGCCCTGCGGCAGGCTCGCTACTGTCAGCACAGAGCCCACTTAGGATCTTGTGTCCCCCATCCCCCGCAAGATTCTGCGCTCTCTCTCAGAAATGAATACACATTAAAAAAAGAAAGAAAGAAAGAAAAGACGTAATTCCTTTACCCCAGCTTTCAGCGGCGCCCCACCCCCAGGCACACAGGGCTCCCCTCTTCCTGCCTTGCAGAGCTCAGGTGGGGACAGCAGAGGTGGAAACCAAGAATCTTCTACTTACCTGATGCCTGACACCTGAGATATCATCAGTCTGAGGATCCTTCTGGTTCAACACTGCCAGGGATGACGAGGACTCCCTGTAGCTACCTGGGAAAGTTCGACTCTTTCTCAGTTGCTCCCCTACCCCCTCAGGTGACTCCCCTCTCCTGGTGGCAGTCTCTGGAGCCCATACTGGGCTGTGATGGCAGTAACTTCATAGTTTAATTCTGACCACGTGGCTGTGACCAGGGAGTGAGCCCTCATCGGACCCTCTCTTCCCCTGTCACAATCTAAGGGGATTCGGCTCCACCAACCCCAACTTTTGGGGGGCGGTGACCCAAGGACGTTCTCCCTCCCCACACTCGGCTCTCTCCTCCTTCTGTCTCTCAGGCCCTTCTCCTTCAATCCGGCAGCCCAGCCCTCCCCAGAGGGTGGAGAGCCGTGGTCCCTTCCCTTCCGGTGCCACAGGCATCGGCGGCAGGGAGTCTGCCTGTGCTCCCTGCTCCCACGGGCAAGGGACACAGCGCGTGCTTCAGTCCCAGTTCTGTCCCCTCTCCCCCACCAGCTAGGGATGCCGCCCCAAAGGAAAACACACCTTGTGTCTCAAGGAACATCTCGATTTCTCGGAGTTTAGCCCTGCGGGAGAGGAAAGGCTATTTCGCTATGGAATGTGACTTTGACTGTGACCCTGGCAGGAGAGTTCATCTAGGTGGGATGCGAGCATACGCCTTATGCCTCAGCCCTGCAGCTCCATAGGCTGTCTTACTTGCTTGTCAAGGTCCTTCGCCAGAGTGGGGGAAGGGGACAACCGGGCCCTCGTCCTGAGTCTGTGATGGGGGCAGTGAAACACGGCCACCAACAGCCCAGGCTCTGGAGCCCTTCCGGAGCTGGGTTTGCCCGTGGTTCTGTGGCTTTAATAAGCTTTGTGACCTTAGGCAAGTTACTCAGCCTCTCTGAGTCCTAACCCATCTGCCACCTCCCTCACCAGGCTGTTGACAAACGAGACGAGACACGGTAGTGGGTCAGCTGCACAGCGACTGCTCAGTAAGCCGGGCTCTGTTGCCAGCCAGAAGGGTGACCCCAGCCTCCGGCCCTCAGCCCCCTATTCCCCTATACCCCCAGTTCCCTTTCTGGCCCCAGAGCACAGCTCCCTTCCCCCTATGTCCCCCACCCCCACCCCATTAGAGCCAGATCATAAAATCTCCCAGGGAGGGAGGCTGGTGACATCTTTAGTGGCGACATTTGGGTGAAAAATTCATGACCATCAGTTACTCAAGGAAGAGGGGAAAAATGAGCCATTTCCACGGCTCAGGAACGTGGCTCTCCCCGGCTGTGAGTCCACAAATCTATTTTATGTGACGAGATCTATAGTCTAATAGAAGGAGCTTATCACAGACTTAAGAAAAAGGGCACAATAATGCGCCACTCTCCTCTCCACCTCTCGGCCCCGCAAGGCGCCCTTCCGGAAGATGAGGGCAGTGGCTCTCAGGAGCCACGGAGAGTTCACCGCCAGCAGGGGCCCGTGGGGTGACGGCTGGGTGGCCCAAGGGGAGGAACCGGTGACCCCCTGGCCCTGCCTTTGTCCTGCACCCCTGGAGGCCACACCCCCTCCGCATCACCATGGTGGCTGGGCCCTGGGAAACCCACCACCTTGTGACAGACATGAGTCTGTCCGTCTGTCTGTCAGTACAAAGGAGGAATGGAAGTTTCCCTTCTCCTGCTGCCTCTCATTCTGGGGCGGGGGCGGGGGGGGACAGGCTAAGAGGCAGACAAGTGGGGGTCGCAGATCCTCTCTGAGACCCAACAGCCTTGGTCCCCAGGCCTACCGGTGACCAGCTCTCAGGTGAAAGGGCTTGGTGCCGCTGAGGTGGCAGCTACTTTGGGCGGGGGTGGGCTTGGTGTGGTGCTGGGGGAGGCTGATGCCCTGAATGCAGAAGGGGCCTGGGGCCGCCTGAGCAGGCTCCTGACTTCCTGCAAAGGGGCAGAGTTAGTGATTCTGGGGCCTGACCTGGGGGCACGCACCTGCGGCAGGGGGCACCCCGGGCCAGATCCCAGCTCCTCACCCGGGACCACAGTGTCCATCTGGCTCCGTCAACCAACCTCTAAGACCCTCTCTCCCTGGGACTGGACTGACTGTGTGCTGCACAAACAAATGAGCGAGCAGACGAATGGATGGCTGTGGGCGGGCAGAGACCAGCTGGTCCCGAGCCTTGACCCCTGCAATGTTGGGCCATGTGCAGAACCGGAGGGCATACCTGCCCGGGGTTTGTTTGCCTGAGAAGTCCAGAGCTTCCGGGGAATAAAGACACACACTTTTGGATGGAGGATGGTGGCTCAGGGCTGGGGCCAGGTGAGGGAGGTCATTTTACATTTATCTGGGGACTCAGATTTTTCCGGGCGGCCCAGTCGTTTAAGCATCTGACTTTGGCTCAGGACATGATATCACGGTTTGTGGGTTCGAGCCCCGCGTCAGTCTCTGTGCTGACAGCTCGGAGCCTGGAGCCTGCTTCGGATTCTGTGTCTCCCTCTCTCTGACCCTCTCCTGCTTGCTCTCTGTCTCACCCTTTCAAAAATAAAATAAACATTAAAAATATTTAAAAAATGTATCTGGTTAGCTGGTTAGTTATATTTACCTCGTCTGGCAAAGAGTTTCATGAGGTAGACAGGGTTGCCGGCAACAGGATAATGGGAACTCGGGGGTCCCCAGGGGGAAGGAAGCAGGAGGAAGAAGGCTGCAGGTCTGGTGGAATCCTAGGTCTGTAACCTGTGCCTTCATTTTCCCATCTCTAAAATGGGCGTAATACAGAGCCTCGGGTTGTTGCAAGGATTAAATGAAAAGAAATCCATAAAGCAGCCAATGGATATGGAATACAGAACACTCAGTATATGACCTACAGTCAGCCAGTTAATAATCAATTGAATCAGCGATGTTGTTCTGATTATCGCATGGCCTGAGGGCCACTTGTTGGGCCAGACAGATGGACTCCTAGTAGGCTGAGCAAAGAGGGAAACTGGGTCAATCGTCCCATCCATGGGTCTCTAGGGACCGACGTAGCTGCAGGAAGACAGACACTCTTTCCAGGAAGCCTGGGGACAAGGTCTGCCACCCTCCCCAGGCCCACCTCCTGAAGGCCCCTCTCTAACCTCACCTGGCCTGGCCCTCGACTGGCCTCTCACTCCAAAAAACACCCAACTCCAGCTCCCACACTCCTTCCATGGTTTCTCTGACTCCTGCTTGCCCCCGGGCCTTTGCACATGCTGTACTTGTTGGCAAAATGCATCTCACCTGCATCTTCCCCTTCGGGCTCACTCTCCAGGTATCAGCTCAGAGGCTACTGCCTCCAGGGAGCCTTTTCTGATCCCCAGATTGAGTCCAGCTCCTTCCACATGCCCCAAAGCGCCCCTGCCCCTCTCATAGGTGCACCTACAGTTGCATGCTGGAATTGCCCATGTCCTTTCCAGTACCCATGTTACCTCCCATGAGGGCAGCAGCGTTGTCTCTGAGGGCCACACGGCATCCCTGGGGCCCAGCACAGGCCCTGGCCCGTAGGTGTTGTTGAATGATGGAATGATATGTTGCCAACTGTGAAGTCACAGAGATGCCCCCTTGGCCTGGTCTGTCCCAGGTGTAGGCAGGGACAGCGGGCCTTCTGCAGGCCTCGCCATTCCAGTCACTGGTTTGGCAGAAGCTGTAACCAGAACCATCATCCCCACGGTGACCTGGAGCTGTAGAAGGAAGAAGGCTCCCATCAGGTAGGAAACAAGAAGACCCTTCTTTCCAGGGCTCCCGAGAGCCAGAGTATCCACAGAGGGAATAGGGAACAGCAGGTGAGGCTGGAGCCCAAAAGCAGTGTTTTGGGCAGGCGGGTACTGGCTTTCTGCCTCAGGCTGCCCTGCCGGGCACCTGCCTGGGGTGTGAGCAGGACTACTTAGCACCCCCTAGAGCCGCCGAGAGGCTCTGGCGGGACATCAGCCTCAGCGCCTGCACCCACGGGGGGCACATGTGGCCCAGCGATGCCAACCTCAGGGCCTCTGTAGCCGGACCCCACAGAGCGGCAGCTGGGCCAGTGGGACCCAGAAAGTGATTGTGCGGACTCAACAGGCTTTGGCTCCCGCAGTCACTCAGGAGGAAAGCTGGCTGGCTATTCTTAAAAGGGAGTTTTATTAACACTCAACACGGGCACCAGTTCTGACCCGTGGGTAGAGGATGGCAGCCTCTCGGAAAGGAGGGCGGGCCGCAGTCAGGGTGTCCATTTGGGTGTGTCTGAATTCATACAGTAAAAGTGTTTGAAAGTGATCACATTCCTCAAGTAGGTTAAGCATCTCCATTGCGATCCTGAGTATAGCTTAGGAGAGCTTTTTTTTTTTTTTCTAGAATGTTCGAAGGCCAGCGTCAGCTAGGCCTATGTCCCAGTGAGGCCAGTTCCAGACTGGGGCTGCCTGATTCATGAGGGTCCTGCCTGCCAACCTCCCTGCTGGGTCAGTTCTGCCGATTCTCTGCGGCCTGGATTTGCTGCTGTGTCTCCCTGCGTTGAACCCAGAAGCCATTTCCTCCTGTTACTGATGGTCTCAACGAGGCCCACAGGTGACAGTTAAAATATCGTCTCCTCCAGGGACACTCCGGGACCAGAATGCTTGAGTCACATGTCAAGTAGGGCGAGGGGGGGAGTACAGGGGATCAGGACAGATCTCCACGCTCTCATGTAAGGGAAAGAAGAAATCAAGGAAGTGATGGAAGAGATATTGCGGCCTTCCTCCGTGTGGCTCGGTGTGTCCAGGGGTGCCAGAGGGACCAGGTCTGCTGCTGGGAGGGGCCAGCTTGCTTCCTGAGCCCACCTGTTCCCCAAGGGGAGGAATGGGCCGTTCCCCAGCCTCTGAAGGAAAATGATGGACCACTGGCTCTAAAAAGACATAGAAATAGAGACAGGGGCGCCTGGGTCGCTCATTTGGTTCAGCATCTGACTTCGGCTTGTGTCATGATCTCACGGTTCCCTGAGTTTGAGCCCTGCATGTTTGGGATTCTCTCTCTCCCTGTCTGTCTGCCCCTCCCCCACTAGCACTTTCCCTCTTTCTCAAAACAAAACAAAACAAAAAAACTTTAAAAAAAAAGAAGGAAGGAAGGAGGGAGGAAGGAAGGAGGGAAGGAGGAAGGAAGGAGGAGAGGAAGGAGGAAGGAAGGAGGGAGGGGGAAGGAGGGAGGAAGGAAGGAAGGAAAGGAGGGAGGGAGGAGGAAGCAGTAGTATTTGCTACCTGCCATGGTATGAATTCCCCCGCCAAGGCTGAGATGCATGCAATCTCTCCTCCCATGAGTGGCCCCCAGCACACGGCTACTCAGGGCCCTTCCTTGTACTGATGTAGCTCAAAACAGACCCCAAGGCTCCGCAGGGGCAGGCGCAGAGCGGGGCCAGAACCCAGACTTGCAACCCCCTCGGCCAAAGGCTGGCTCCATGATGCCATTTGGGGGGCACTTTCCACAATGTCCATGGTGCCCAGTGACTTGGCCTGAGACCCCCGGAGAGAGGCCGGATGCTGGGGGCGGTGGGGGGTGGGTGCTGAGTCAGCCAGCATGCCCCCAAGCCACCAGAGCCATCAGCGCTGGGGACTGGAGTGCAGCTCTCTCAGCTACACAAGCGTGGCAGTGACAGACGACATGTGGTGACGAGGCCCAGGACCCGGCACGGGGCATTTCTGGCTGTGAGTCACTTGCTCCCAGCTGCATTCTCCAACGTCACCATGTCCGGCCCCTTGAGTGAGTGTATGTGTATGTTTTAAATTCATCCCTCTTGGGCCTCCCTTTTTGCTTATATACATGTGTATATATACGTATACATTTTTGTCTCATGAATGAAAGACCTTGGTTTGTGCCTAGTCTCTGCTCTGATTTGGACTGGAGTCTACTCAAGGAGTAGTCATGAAAGACTTCCTGCAGGAGGTGATGCCCCAGTGGGCCCTAAGGGATGAGGCTGGAAAGACCTCTTTCCCGGCAGGAGGATGGGTCCCTGCAAAGTCTGGCCTCAGAGAAACAGAGATGGAGAAGAGTCGGACGTCTGGGAATGGCCCAGTCATTACACCTCGGGAGTTAGTCTCAGGCAGGGAAAGAGGGGCTCATCACAGCCAAGGTGGGGGTCACACTGGAGCACGGGGACCCTGGCTGTCATGGGCCCCCTGTGTGTCCTCAGGGACCCAGCTACCTTCTTGTCTGTAAACCACTTGGGATTTGCTGGGAGGATACAGTAAAGAAGCCCCCTGCACGGTCCCTGGCACAGCATGGGGTCCCTGCATGGTCCCTGGCATGGCATGGGGTCCGTATGTGCTGTTAGAGCGCTGTCTCTTCCTCACACGAATCGAATTAACCAGCATTTATTGAGCATTTACTGTGTCCCCACTTCCTGTGCCAGGCCACTGATCGGATGTGATTCCTCTGTTCCAGGAGACTACAGGGCTGGGGACAGGGGTGGTGTAGACCCACAGGACAGGCCCAGTGGCCAGAAGTCTGGTGAATGCGGGTGTCCTAAGGTCTCCTTTCTCTTGCGATTCTGGAAGTGGGGATTGGGCCGATTTTGCCAAGGAGGAGAACATGGCCTTCCTGTTCTGGGGGCGCAGGGGTGGGGTGCCGCAGGGGTGGGGTGCCGCCCGCTGTTCAGTAGACGCTACGAGCCGTAGCCTGTGCGGTGGGGGAGGATGCCCAGGGGCACGAATACTTGGCAACTGATCTGGGCAAAGGCAGAGCTCAGGTGATCCCAGGGAGATATGAAGGGGACACTGATAGGTGGGGGGGTGGGGGGAGGGTGTCATCAAGTTTCTTATCATTCCGCCTTTGCACTGTGCCCCAAGAAGCAGGAGCGCCTGTGGATTCGGCGCCCCGGGAGGACCAAAGGGTGAGGGTGGTGGAGGGGGACCCAAGGGGTGTGTCCGGAGCCCCAGACTGAGCGTGGGGCCTGCCAGGGAGCATGGGCCGGGGTGTGGGGACCTATGGGGACCCGATGTGAGCAGCCGCGTGGGAGAGGTCGGCGGGGCACCTCGGCTTTCCGCCCCTTACTCTGCTGACGGGCCCATCCATCCCGATCTTCGTTAGGGCGGCGCCACCTAGCGGCACTTGGAGGAAGCGGCGGCGCGACCTCGTCCCTGCCCTTCGGCTGGGTCCCCGAGTTCCTCTGGCATCTGAGCCCCTCCCCTGCCCCCGCCCCCGGGGGAGGGGAGGAAGGAGGAGTCGCCCCCAATCTCGCCCAGAGGAGCAGGCGGTGACACCTGACACCTAAAAGGCTGAAGGAGTGGGGGCAGAGCCTGGAGGGAAGCGGATGGGCACACCAGGCTTTGACCTTGACCCCAGTTTCTGTTGTTTGCCCCCTCCTCAGCCCTAGCATCAGGGAGCACAAAGAGGAGGCAGGAGAAGGGCGAAGTCCAGAAGGGTGGGCAGGAAGAAACCTGGAGGTGTCCACAGCCCAAGAGCCTAGGACTTAGCGGGAGCCCATCGCTAGGGAGCTGCGGTGGGAGGCCAGGGCAGGCACACCTGTTTCCCACGTTAGGGGGGATCGTGTGGAGGCGGGGTCTGTGTTTCTGGGTGTGTACCTGTGTGAGGGTGGGAATGCGTGGCTGCATGAGTGTATCTGTGCCGCTGTGCGATCTCGGGGCTCTGTGTGACTGTGTATGTGAATTTGTCTGTATGTGTGTGTGAGTGAGTGAGTGAGTGAGTGAGTGAGTGAGTGAGTGAAACACCGGGCAGAGCTGCCTCTTTGGCTGGGCGTTTTGGGACAGCCTGCCCTCCGTGCCCTGCATACCTTCCTGGGTCAGCTCGTGCCCTCCTGTGTCCCCGGAGAGACATGCGTGCAAACTGCTCCCAGGCGGGGCCCCTTCTGTCCCCTAGCGAGCCCCACGCCTCAGCGCCCGCCCACAGCCCTACTCTCAGCTGCTGAGGGAAACAGCTCCTTAAAGCTGGATGGGGAGGCCACCTGGCTTTACAGCCTCAGCCTAATAGCCCTTATTAGGATATTCAGGTGGAAAATATGGTGACATCCAGCACCCCTTTGGTGTGTGCTTTAAGTTGGTTAGGCTGCTGATTCTTGGTTTCGTCTCAGGTTGTGATCTCATTGTTTCCTGGGTTCGAGCCCGGCATCTGGCTCTGTGCTGGCAACATGGAGCCTGCTTGGGATTCTCTCTCTTCCTCTCTCTCTCTGCCCCTCCCCTTTTCACTCTCTTTCTCAAAAAAATTAATTAACTTTAAAAAATAAATAAATAAAAATGATTTAAAAAGCCAAGTGCACGAGGGCGAGGGTGTTTTTTCTGCCCGGAAAAGACCAGAACCTGATGCTCTAGAGCCCAAAGGAGGTGGACTGGAGGAGACTCATGCTCAGTGAGGACTCTCGGACCATGGGGGTTATTGTGCCCGTTTGTTTTCTGGCCACTCTCAGAGTCTCTGTTTCCTGGAGAAGTGACTGTGTCAGTGTATGAAACAGGGCGCTCAAGGAGATCAGAGGGTGGTGGCCACAAATCTGACCAGCGTTGTTTGTCCTTTCGTAATACCCGTCTCAGAAGCAATCCGGCCACAGATGTCCCCAGCGGAGGGGGAGGGGGCTCCCGCTGGCCGAGGGCCATTAGCTCAGTCCCCAGTGTGGGTATCTCCTTACAGAAGCAGGGGCCAGACCTCAGGGAAGTTATAAAACCTCCTTGCCCAAGGTCCCTCTGCTTCGAAGTGACAGAGGGAGGATTCGAGCTGGCTCCCCCAGCTCCAAGGCTGTGTCGATGCCCACAGGTGGGAGCACCAGCAGATACCAAGGGCATGGCCGGGTATGGTGGGGCCGGGGTGGGCCTCAGGGTGGGCACAGCTGGTGTCTGCTGCCTGGAAGCCTGGCCGCTGTTCCCTGATTGTGGTGTCATGGGTGGGCTGGTGGTCGATGCTTGGGCCTTTGGCTCTGAATTCCGGGCAGGAGTCTGGGAGTGGGGTCTTGCCTCTCTGAGTGCCTCTGCCCGCCGCCATGCTGTCTCGGCCCACAGGGAGAGATTCTCTTGGAGCTTATCTGGGGACAGGCATCTCTGTCCTTGGCTCTGATAACAGCTCTCAGTTTTCCCCAGGAGGCAAGAGATCCTCCCGGAAAACCAGCAAATGTTTTTTCCACCCGTCCTACTTCCCAGCGATTCCTTCTCTGACTTCTTCCTCCCCCTGCACCCCAAGGGTTGGGACTGGTTTTTCGAGGGGACTTTGTCTCTGGGAGGAGGGCTTCGGCTCCAGAAAGCTCTGATCACCAGTACCTTTGCGGCGGGGGCTTGGCATGTGGGACTGAGGCCCCTCTTCCAGGCCTCTGGCTCTTCCTGGCTGCCCCTGGGCTCTGGCCAGCCCTTTAGCCCCCCCTTGCTCTCTCTCAGCTTCCTCTCCTGTAAGATGAGTTTAGCGAGAGGACCAAGTGCTGGGTGCTGGGGGTTCCTTCCATTGGCTCTGGTCTGGCTCCCCATCAGATCCCCTGGGGCTCCGACCTGCCTGCTCCCAGCCCTTTGCCCCATGATTTCCCTGCATGGGCCTCCCATCAACCAGATTTGAAAAACTGAGACTAGTAACATTAGCGTCAAAAGGCAGGTAGGGAAACTGAGGCTTCGGGAAGAAACTGATCTATCTGAGGTCACACAGAAGTCAGTGGGTGGGTTGGGCCAGAACCCAGAACCCTGGGCCCTGTTCCCTGCTGGGGATATACCTGGGGGAAGGGTCCAAGGATATATCTCTTGTCTTGTCCCAATCAACTCCCCCAAATGGTTTTAACTTTCCTCAAGTATGAGTAGATATATTTTTTGAAATAACATGGAAGGGTTTACCTGGCAGTGTCCTGGGGATCACTGTCCTTGCACCTGGCTGCACTGCCATGCTCATCAGGTGACTTCCATCTACAAGTCCAAAAAGGCTGCCCCAGCTCCTGCCATTGTTTCTACACCCCAGCCAGTGGCAAGGGGGAAAGAGGAAGAGGAAAGCTTAAGCCTTTCTTTTTCCCTCCTTTTTTTCAATTAGAAAAACTGTGCTAAAACACACAAAACATAAAATTTACCATCTTAACATTTGAAGCATATAGTTTGATGTTCGTAAGTCTGTTCATTATTGTTGTCCAAACAGATGAAGATCGTTTCTAGGAAAAAAAATCGAGGCTCAGAAAGGGTGCCTGGCTCAAAGTCACACAGCACGTAAGTTGGTCTTTTGACTCTAAGCTGCCTGAGCTGGGTGCCACTTTCATTAGAACAGTGGCCTTGTGAACAGTATGGGGGGGAGGGGTCCCAAGGAGATGAAGAAGCCCATCAGAGGCATCCACCCTTGGGGTGCCATCCGGGAATTCCCACCCAAACTCGCGGGGCTCAGATGACCACCCTGCCTTGGACCATCTCTCTGCTCCCCAGATGCTCTAAGAGGCTGGGAAAAAATAGGAATGACTTAGCAATGAGGTCCTCTGACTGGATTTTCCCCCGTGTCTGGAGAGCTGACTACCGAATGATTTACCGCGCGGCCCAGGCCAGAGCGTTGCCGTGGTGCCCGGGGCATTCACGTGCGTGTGTGCACTGCACACGGCGCCTGGGGTGAGCGTAGATGCACACGTTCCCGCGAGGACGTGCGTGTGCTCGCATGCGCGTGCCCTTCACGTTCGGAAGCACCACCAACAGCCCCGTACCCGGCGGGCACTCGGCCCACCCGGCCCCTGCCTCTCAGAGGGGGGACCCCGAGGCCTGCAGCGGTGAAGCGGGAGGGCGGCCGCCAGCTGGGGCAGCGAGCAGGGCCGTCTGGGGCGGTGTGTTGTAACTGGCAGCCTGGCATATGAGTCACCGGCCAAATTAACTCAAGTTTCCTTTGGGGAAAAATGTAATCAGTTGGTGAGCTCTGTTCCATTTTAGCAAATTAACTCGTCCAGTTTCTTTCTTTCTTTCTTTCTTTTCTTTCTTTCTTTTTTTTTTTTTTTTTAAGTTGGGGGGGTGGGTGGGAACAGAGGGTGGTGGAGCTGAGCCGCGGCGCCGGAGACTTGGGGAGAAGTTGGGTCCGGACTGAAGCTGGGGGGGGAATGGAAGGGGGGGAGGGGGAACGGGCAGGGGCCGCTGCTCCTGGAGGGTGACGTGGCCGCGGATCCTGCTGGGACCTGGGGGTGGAAACACATATTTGAGGAAGAGTTTCGTCCTCCTCTGAGCACGTCTCCAGCCGCTTCCCCCCCCCCCCCCCCCCCCCCGTGTCCACCAGTGAGAAGGCCATAAGGGCCCCGCTGGGAGCCAGTGGGGGGGTGTGCCTGGGGCCCCAGAGGGCCTCCTGGGAGAGATTGTTCTTGTGCCAGGAGACACCAGTCTGGAAAGTTCTGCTGGGCCTTCCTGTGTGTGAACGACCACACTGCGTCACTCGCACGGGCACCTGGGGGCCCCGGCCTGCAGTTTCTAGGACTTTCATGTCCATTCTTCATGTTCAGACTCACGTCTACCTCTGAGGAAGGTATTGCAAACGCCCTTCCTCAGAGGAGACATCTTTACCCCTTGAGCAGTGACACGGTGACACCAGACCCCCTTCCCTTCACCTCTTAGCCAGGCTACGTGATCCTTTCCCCTCAAATGTTGGGAGATACAAAAGGTATTTGATCTTCTTTCATTTTTTATTTTTTAAAGATTATTTATTTATTTATTTAAATGCTTATTTATTTTTGAGAGAGAGAAAGACAAGTGTGAGCAGGGGAGGGGCAGAGAGAGAGGGAAACAGAATCTGAAGCAGCCTCCAGGCTCTGAGCTGTCAGCACAGAGCCAGAGATGGGGCTTGAACCCACGAACTGCAAGTTCATGACCTGAGCCAAAGTCAGACGCTTAACTGACTGAGCCACCCAGGTGCCCCTAAGTTTATTTTGAGAGAGACAAGTGGGCGAGTGACAGAGAGAGAGAGAGAGAGAGAGAGAGAGAATCCCAAGCAGGCTCTGCGCTGCCAGCCCAGAGCCCCATGCGGGGCTCAAACTCATGAAACCATGAGATCATGACCTGAGCCAAAACCAAGAGTCAGATGTTTAACTGACTGGGCCCCCTCAGGTGCCCCAAAAGATATTTGATCTTAAAGAGCCTGAGAATGCCCTGATTGAGACCCTGAGGCCTGTGGGTGACAGCTGCCTCTGGGTGTGGCCTGGGTCCACGTTGAATCTCTCCTGGGAGGTCCACCCGTCTGTCAACATCAGTGCCCAGGCCCTACGGGCTGAGGTTATGCTTTCTCTGAGAAGCTTCCAGACTGTCCCCAGGCCACATACTCTCTCCCACCTTTCTTCCACCTCCTACTGGTCAGTACCATTATGCTGATCTTGGGTGCCAAATTTGGGTCCACTGTGGGCAGGGAAATATGTCCAGCCTGCGTGGGGTGTAGGTGGGACGGGCAGGCTGAGCCGGGGGCAAAGGTGAAGTCCGTACCCAGCCTGGTCCCCGGCCTGTGGGGTCTGAACCACGGGGGCGTGGCTTCGGGCAGGAGCCGGGCAGTCATCGGCCCGAGGAGCTGTGGGATCCCAGGGAACCTGTCCTCCACCCCGAGCCCGGGTGGCTCACCATCTCTAGGGTGCTCCTGAACACCCCCGTTTGGACTCCTTGGAGCCCCAGCCTGAGGGATGCTGGGTGCCCTCTGTGCCCTGCAGGAGCCCAACTCTCCAGTGGACAGAGTTGGGGAGGGGAAGGGCCAGGGATCCGGCCGCACACAAATGCTGGCTCCAGGCCCCATTTGAGCAGTGTTTCCGGCCACCGTTGCCACCAAAGCGTGACAGTGGGGCAGGAGCTGACGCAGGCACAGTGTGGCCAGCCTGGCCTTCTGGCGAGTGTCAGCGAGCCATCTAAAGGCGGCATCGGATGGTGGCCCACGGCAGCGCAGGACGGCCTGGGGAGCGGGTGTTTTGGATGTGTGGTCTGATGGGTGGTGTGTATGGTGGCCACGATGCTGGGAGGGACAACTGGCACTCGGAGGGCAGGGATGTGCCCACATGCTCGTGACTGCATCCCACGAAAACTGCACAATGTCCCACCAGACATTCCTATGGTGAAAAACTAGTCGAAAATGATCTGAGCTTAGGGGTGCCTGGGGGGCCCAGTCAGTTAGGCATCTGCCTTCGGCTAGGTCACAATTCCATGGTTTGTGAGTTCGAGCTCCACGTCAGGGCTCTGTGCTGACAGCTCAGAGCCTGGAGCTGCTTCAGATTCTGTGTCTCCCTCTCTCTCTGCCCCTCCCCTGTTCATGCTCTCTCTCACTCTCTTTCAAAAATAAAATAGACATTAAAAAACTTTTTTAGAAAATGATCTGAGCTTTTCATATTTTACATATTTGCACACAGTTTGGGGGTGGTTTTTTTTTTTTTTTTTGCACAATTTTAACAAAAAAGAAATCTCCCAGGCTTGAGACGACAGTGAAAATTGAGGAGAGAAGGTCTCTTGTTTTGCCACAGGATTTTGTCAAAAGTGTCCCCTGTTCCAGACACGTCCCCGAACGCGAGGCTGCTCATGGTATTTGAGTGTCTGATACGACATCACGGCACCAGCCTGAGCTCGGAAATGTCACACATGCATGGTGAGTCCATGAGCAGGCGCCCCAATTCCACTGCTTCCCCCTAGCTGTGGCAGCCTCGAGTACAAAATATCGTTTGATTATAGATCACTTTTCCTTTTTGTTTCCAGGCTAGGACACCATTATACAGATTTTTATCATTGTATAGCGAATAGGTCATATTATCAAAGAACTTTATTTCTGGAGCAAGAAGGAAGTGTCACGGAGCATTCGTTACAGGGCAGTAATGCTGGGTCTGACCACATGAGGACAATTTCACGGATGGGAAGTCTGAGTTCTGGACTTCACCGTGACCTGCTGGCTGTCGCCCTGAGAAGGGCAAGACAGAACTGGAGCCCGGGTCTCTCGATTCCTGGTTCTGGGCTCTGTCTGCTTCCTCAACAGCCCTTAGCAGCCCTCCTCAGCCTGTTTTCTCACGACAAGCCCTGCTCCCTGTTATAAAGGGGGATGAAAGATTTTTACCAACGTGTCAAATTTTCTTTGCCATGTCGTGGAAACTTCCTAAAAAGCCAGAGAGGCCCTGGGCTGTGTGAGCCCTGCAGTCTGCAGTGTGCGGTGTGCGGGGCCTTTCTGGGCTGTACCATCCGGCCACACTCCCCCTGAGCCAGCCTGGAGCCAGGGGACGCGACCAGATGACCTCCCGTGACCTCATCTAGCCAGCGCTATGTTCCCCCCTTCTAGATTGTTTTTCCAGTCACCTAGTGAATCTGAGGGAGACTCTATTCTTTCGACGACTACCTTTCAACTCAAGTTATGGTTTTATAAATAATATATATGGCAAGTCGGTACCGGGGAAAGGACGTTCATTCGACTCTGAAATATTTATGGCCTGGAGTGTCTGCTTACTTTTCTTTGGAGTCATTTTTTAGCGTGCCGTGCCGGGAAGCGCGACAGCCCTGGGCGCCTTCGGGAGCGGAGGCTCGGATGGCCCTTCCATCCGGGCTGCGGGGCCTATCCATCCTGTGGCCGACAGGGGAGGGGACGGCTCTTCCCCAGGGGAGCGCTCCTGAGCTCAGACCTCCTAAGTTATCTCAGGGAAGGCTCTGCTCGGGTGACAAGAATCAGCCGCTGCCTTCGAAACAGACGTTGGTCTCCAGCGTACAGTTTGAATAATCACGGCCTCTGTACCAGGCTTTCCCAGATACGTGCTTGGATCCTTGGGCCTTTCTTGGGAGGTAATCGTTTTACAGATGGGGAGACCGAGGCTCAGCAAGATTAAGGAACTTCTCAAGGTCAAAGCCACAATCCCGTAAGGGCCTGGATTTTTACCCAGTCTGGATGACTTCTTATTTCGATCTTTTCTCCTTACCCCAAGGCTGGCCCATCACTGAGCTGAAGCTGGGGGCCGGCGAACGATTGTGGATGACTTTCTGAGGCGGCACACGTCTGTCTGTAGCGGTTTGAAATGCAGGGGGCCTTGGATGTGGAAATAGCAATCTGTGCTGAACAGCCGGGCTTGAATCCCAATCCTAAGGGAATGGATACATTCCTGCATGTGCTGAAGTGGGGCCAGATGGTGCTGGAAAGACCCACAGTCATCTTGCTCAACTTCCCATGTTACAGGTGGGAGATTAGGAGCCTGACAGGGACAGGGATTTGCCCAAGAGACAGTTGGTCACAATGATGTATCTTGGAGTCCGGTCGTCTGGTCAACCTCGTCTCCCTCTCATTCATTGCCCCTTTTCTTGCTAGGGAAAACCAGCACTTGGAGAGTTAAAAGCCTGATCAGCATCACCCAGTGGATGGCTGTAGGGCTATGTACTTCCTTGGTCTGGCTGTAAATCCGCGAGTGAGTTAAATAATTTTGAGACTGTGCTTGAGGAATTGCTAAACCAGTTGGACCACGGAGTGGGCTGCTGTTGATAAATTACAGATATTTAATCAAGGATTGGGTTGAGCAGTGAGGACAGGAATATTTCACCTCATTTCTCCATCTGGAAGGACAATTTCCTAAGGGAAAAAACACTTCTATTACTGAGAGTTGGTGACTCTAGGCACCCTGCGCGGTTGGCTGGCACTGAGTCGTCACTGGGGCAGGCAACAGAGAATAATTGTGAAATCGGTCAGAGACAACATTTCTGAAAAAGTCCAGCTCAATCGTGAGCCAGAGGGAGCTGTCGGGCTGCCCTGCCCTGGCCGCCTTTGGCCATGTACCCCCTCCCTGCTCCTGCCATAGGAAACCCCCCTGTGGTAGATAGTCTTCAAAGATGGCTCCCACAGTGGGCCATGCTTCCTGGAGTTCATGCTCTTGTACAACCCTCTCCCCTTGAATGTGGGCTGGCCCTGTGTGCACCAAAGGAATGTGGTAGACGTGGTAGACATGACCCAGCGGCTTCCAAGGCCACGTCAGGAAAGGCTCCTGAGGTGACCTCTCCACACCAAGTAAGAAGCCACAAACAAGAGTGTGTGCAGGCCTGGTGGAAAGCCGGGGCCTACGGAAGGAGGGCCTCCCTGCCCTTCCCTCTGGACAGCCCTGCCTCACCTTGAGTCATTCTTAGACTTCACCTCTGCCCTTGGTTTCGGACCACCTCCCAAAAAGTGTGGCCAGGAGGTCCCAGAGTGTCCCTGGGGGACCCGCAATGGGAATGAACGGGCCTTGCACTATGCAAACAGCTAACTGGTTGACGCAAGATGAACCCACAAACTGAGCACGTGTAGACGCTGGGATAGGAACTTGACATTGCCATGGCAGCTAGGCTTTGGTTCCTCCACACACTTGTCTCCTCAAACAGGAAGGAGACAGCATACAATGCAATTGAGAATTGTCACCTTGTGAGGGGTGTCACACTGCCCTGAGCAGTATTCTGGTCATGTGCACAGGGACCACCTATTGTTCACCATGGCACCTTCTGGCTTTGGAGACGGGTGAGGGCCCTGGGCCAAGGGATGCAGAAAGTCTGCAGGAGGAGGAAGAGGCAAGTGGACAAGATTCTCCCCCAGAGCCTCCGGAGTGGGAAGCAGCCAATGCTGACCCCTTGAATAATGCAGTGACCCATGTCAGACCTCCGACTCCAGAATTAGGAGATAATCAATAGGCATGGTTTTAAGCCGCTACATTTGCGGTCACTCGTCACAGCAGCCATAGAAAACTAATCCAGTTGGGCTCAGAGAGGCTCTGTAACTTGCCCAAGATGGCCCAGTGTTAGGAGCCATCCCAGGTCAGCCTGATTCCTGATTGCTCTTCTCTGCTCCACACTGCCTCCTGCTGGCGTTCGAGGTGGCCCAGGTGTGGGGGCGGGTGGGGGAGAGCTCAGGGAACTGGGGACTTGAAGGATGGGGCAGAGAGACACAAAGTGGGGAGGGGTCTGTGACCCTGTTGCCCATGGATGGGCACCTCTTCTGGCCACCGTGTTGAACAAAACTCTTCCTCAGGTCTTCGGGCAGCTAAGCCCTGACACCGAGCCAGACAAGCTCACTGCAGGGCCAGTGTTGGAGCCCCCGCTACTGGTGGGGGTTCATCCCTGGGGGGAGGGGCTGGCTCTTGGAAAGAATTTGGCTCCTGGGAGTGGGTAACATGCTAGGTTGAATCCCCGCTGTGCCACTTGGGAAATGTGCTCATATTCTGTGAACCTCACCTTCCAGAAGGAATAAAAAGGAGGTGGTCATGCCAACTTAACCTGAGGACCTTAGAGCAGGATGCTGCTGCCCAATTCGCATGAATTTGAACTGTGGTCTATTACTGCTTAAACTGCAACCCAGCTGCCAGCCAGTCTCTCTCTTTTTTTTTTCTTTAAGTTTCTTTATTTATTTTGAGAGAGACAGAGAGAGCACGAGCTGGGGAGGGGCAGAGAGAGGGGGAGACATTGAGAAACCCAAGCAGGCTCCGCGCTGCCAGCACAGAGCCTGATGCGGGGCTCGAACCCATGAACACGAGATCATGACCTGAGAGGAAAACAAGAGTCAGATGCTTAACCGACTGAGCTGCCCAGGCGCCTCATGCGCCTTGTCTTGAGCAGAATGGCTCCTTTTTAACTCCCACTGGATCTTTCTTATGGATTCAGATACCTCCCAGGGCCAGCTGGGGCCAGGAGCCCAGGATAAGACTATCTCCCTGTCCTGTGGTTCAGGGCTGAGCTCTGCAAGTTTTAGTGAAACACTACCTTCCCAGGGTGGGGGACTTCCCTGGACACCCTGCCTTGACTTTCACCCCTGCCCCACCCCAGACATTTGTGGCCCCTTTCACTCTTAGCACTTACCACCATTTAGCCTGTTATACTTTTAAACTATTTTATTTTTGGGATAGACACCGCTAGCGGAGCAGGGCCAGAGAGAGAGGGTGACAGCGGATCTGAAGCGGGCTCTGTGCTGACAGCAGTGAGCCCGATGCAAGGCTCAAACTCACCAACTGTGAGATCATGGCCTGAGCCAAAGCCTGAGCCACCCAGGCACCCCTAGCCTGTTATAGTTTTATTTTACGTATGTATCTTGCTTTTTTTGGGTGCCTCCTCCGTAGAATTTTAGTTCCACGAAGATAAGGACTTTGTACATCTTCTCCACCAAGGTATCCCCAACACCAAACACAGTGCCTGGTACAAGGCAGGTGCCCCAAAAGTATTTGTTGAATGAGGGAGGGAGTGAATATAGAGTACTGAATGAAAGCAGTCTGTGATCGTGACTCTGGGCATCACTGAGGGCTGGGGATCCGAGGGACCCACTTTTCTCACATTGTGAGTGCAACGGAGAGGGGAGGGGGCTTTTAGGAGGCTGGCGGAGGCTGCTATGATCTGAGCCCTCGAAATGGGCTTGACATAGCCGACCTCAGAGGCCTGAAGGACATGGAAGGAGTCCTTGGCCTCCATAACTCTCAGCAGGTGGGGCGGGGTGGGGGGCACCTGAGGCTATGTTCTCCATTCTGAAGGAGCAGAGAACAAGAGGCATGAGCTTGGGTGATGGGCAGCGGTGGGGAGGGTCTGGGGCCCCAGAGTGGGTGGGGGGCGGGCAGAGGGAAGGGAGCAGGACCTAGAATTCCAGAGCGGAGGGTGGCTCTTGAAGGTCAGGCCCCCAGAAAGCAGACTCGGGCTGGAGACTTTGTGCAGGAAGGTCAATGTAGATACTCCTGGGATTGCTGCCTAAGAGGGAAGGGCAGCAGTGGGGCTCAGAAGGACAGCTGGCCTTTCAGCTGGACCTCAGCCACCCTCAGGGCTGGGGCTGGGCCTTCAGAGCCCCCCACTTAGTGCTAGGGCAAGGGCGGGGCTCTCATCAAGTGGTTAGCTTCCCAGAGGTTGGGGGATGATCCCTCAGACTTTCGGGGGACTTTGGGTGGCTGAGGAAGAGAGGTCTGGGCTGGGGTGAGTGTAGCTAGGTGGGGGTGGAAGGGGGAAGGATGTGGAGGTGAAGGAGCATGGCCACATCCAGACAAGGTTAGCGCCTCCTCCACGAGCCAATAGTGTGCAGAAGACAGCCTTCGTCGGGGCTTTGTTGCTGAGGGTTTATCCTCAGGGTTCTATCTCTGGGGGGTGGG